TTCTCAACATTAGTTAATTTGGAACTCACCTAAGTTCTGCTTCCCAAAAATACCTTTATTAGGTCAACTAATATATGAAACCTTTAAGACTGTGAATCTCAGTTGGGTCATGTTAACATCTAATTAAGCCTATAATCTGTTGTCCTTCCATGTAGATATTAAGAGACTGACAGAAAGCTACGTAGGGGAGGTTTGAATCCACAAGCAATATGTTGAGGTAGTTAAAAGGACAGAGAAGAAAGTCAGACCTGGGTCTTTTCAAATGTTAGGAAGCTTTCCTGATATATTTAATATTTTTTAAATTTAAAATGAAAAGAAAATCACATCTGTCTGAAAATGCTGCATCTTTTTGTATGTTTAGAAAGAATGCTAAAGCTGACTGTCACTGAAAGACATCTATGGCCGTGTGTAAACTAATGAGGGGCGTGTGCGCACAACACTTTAAAGTGGGCTAAATGCTTTTGTACTGCCTTAATGGTGCCAGTGTTTGCATTCCTCAGCAGCATATTGCACATTAATTCCAGCCACTATAGTAAATTTGGTGGTGTAATGTGCCTTAAATGACTTGGGGCACAGCAAACTAAAACTTCAAGGAGTTTTAGTTTTCTGCCCCTACAGCTGCTGAGCGAAGCACTGGGCTCCATGCAGCTCCACGGCTCTGCAGGAAGCCCTGCAGGCAGCCTGGCAGCAGCCCGGGAGGGCGGGCTTTGCCCAAGAAAAACAGCGAGCCTGATCTTCACCTCAGAGCCTGCCTGCCTGCCTGAGCCATGCGGGGGCCCGGTGCTTCCCTCTGTGGCTGCGGTGCACCCCAGGACCGCCTGAGCCGGGTGCCTGTGGGTGGGTGCCACCTGGGGGGCGGGCACCGCTGCCACGGAGAGAAGCACCAGCCCCTGTACCCCGCAGCCCAGGAACTGCTCCACCCGCCGGCAGCTTGCCCTCCCCACTGCCAGAGGCAGGTAAGTGCAGGGTGTGTGCCTGACATGGGGGTTTAATCAGCCCTAAATTGAAGCAGTGTTTTTTAAAATCCACCACTTCAATTTAGGGCCCCCATTTCATCTACACATACCCTATGGCATGACATTTAAGTTCTTTTGTTATGTTTATTTCTTTAACTTTTGTGTATTTGACAGCATGCAGGGCCTGATCCAAAATCCAGTTAAATAAATGCAAGTCTTTCTATTGATTCCTTGGCTCTGGAACAGGCCTTTGCTGTATAATCAGCTAGGCCCAGATCCTGTAAACAGGGCTCCATGGGCACTCCAAGGTTATTGCTTCATTTGGTAGATTGAGACCATAGTCTGTTTCTTCTTTGCTGAAAAACTCATGGTGAATATCCAGCAGAATGGAGAAAAACCTTTATGCTTAAAGGTATTTTTAAAAATGAGCTTCAGGCTATATTATATGAGTATACTATTAATTTTTTTAATTACTTTTTTTTTTTAATTTTTGGGTTTAATAAAATGTGATTCTAGAGGATACATTTTCTAAATTACCAGGGCATGAACAACTTTATAACCATGTCTAGGTATGACTACAAGAAGGAGAAATAGTTGGGTTTTTTCAATTATTATTTTTACATATGATAGTTGGAGAGGATGTAATGCTTTTTCTGTATCTGATGACACTTACATGCAAGTGAAATGCAGTGTCCAGATTGTTTTCCAGTTTTTGTTTCATTGAAGAAACTTTTTATATGTACATAATATAGACAACAGGACAAACAGACCAGATGTATGCATGTACCATTCAAAAGAGAGTTATGCAAATTTATGTGCAGAACTCCGCACAGATGGACTGTCTCATCTAATGACATGGAAAAGAGAGAATAGTTTTGCCATTGGTATATAAAATGCAGCAAGGAAAAACTGCAAAAACTTGTGACTTACTCTCAGTTAATTTACTATAAGCTATAGCAGTATTATTGTGCATCTGTGTTCTTCATCGCAGCAAGAGAATGTCTTTCTTTCTGGCTTTGACCAAAGGGGCTGCAAAGGAGATGATCATGGAATTCTGGTCTTGGGCGTAACAGAATAACCTAACAGAGGAGAGTTCAATCTATGCCAGTTACACCACATTATGTGTGCACTGAGGTAGAAGAATTAAACTACAGTTTTAGCGTGACATCTTGTGATGTAAAAGAATCATCAATCCAGCATAACAAATGTTTTAACTTACATAAAAGAAATGTATGGCGCTACAGCTCTATTAAAGGATTTCAGCATCTAAGCTAAAATATGTGCTACATTAAAGTGAAGCACTTTGCATTGCTCATGTGCTGATATGTCCTTTATGACTTGATAAAAAGCTTTGAGCTCCCTGTAAAGAATTTAGTATTTTGCAATGGACTCTTTTTAAAAGATTAAGCAAAAAAGATCCATTTAATAGAAAGGCCCTGTTGCCACTTGTTCCAGTCCTTCAAGTGAAAATGAATCACAGCCTTGAGTCACCAGAGCCTAGACATTTCTATGTGGACTTGTATCCTGTCATATTTCAGGATAAATACTGGAGATAAACCAAAAATTGAAATTTAACATTCCAACTTCAACCACATAATGGGTAGGATTCTAAACATTCCTGTGCTCTGGGGAAAATCTAGTTGAAGTCCATGACTGAGAAAATGCATGTGGTAAAAGCTCAATGAAAATGCCTCATCTCATACACTATACTTCGAGGTGTATACTTTGTGACTATTCATGCATATTCAAAACGAGTACTGAAGTTCCCAGCTCTTCGTAAAAATTGAAGGCATGGCAGCATGGCACATAATGGGCTAGAAGGGAGCTTTGCCTAGTTGGAGGAAGGCTACCATAAGTTCAGTATGGATAAGGGAAAAGTAGTGTGTGCCAGTCTTACAAAAGTATTTGCATGTAAGTAACAATATTTCCAGGATTTGGATTAAAAAAAGAACAATGGCAGGTATGAAACAGGAGTCCCAAAAAGGGGTTGACATTCACTTTGTGCATTTTGTCAGGTGTGGGGCATATAAAGAATGGGAGGAAAATGGGAAACGTTTAGGCAAGTCAGCTACGGAATTACATATTACTTGACTTTCAGTATTCTAAGGAAAACTTTTAGTTTCTTCTTCCCTTTTTTAATACTGCCTTAGAGGGGTACAAAACTCCCCCCCCCCCAAAAAAAAAAAAAAAAAAAAAAAAAGAAAGAAAAAAAAAAAAAAAAAAAGAAAAGAAAAGAAAAAAAAAAGAAAAAACACTCTGTAAGTGAAACAAAATAATTCCAAAAGAATGTAATCTGTGGAGCTGAAATTGTTTCAAAATTATTGTCCATCCATGTGAATTTGGCAGGTATGGAATCCCGTGGGATTCCAGTTCGATGAGAAGTACAATGGGGAAAACATCTTCATGGTATTATGTGTACACAAACAGAAAGACCTGAACTGAAGCATGAGACAGGGAACAACAATATATTTCTATAACCCTTTGTAGGTACGATTGTTATTTTTCTAGTTTGGAGAGAAGTCTGTTCTGTTTTCTGATTTAGAACATACTTAATGAAAGCTGTAGAAAATTCTTAAAACGTTTGCAATTCCCTTTTTTTTTGGCTTCAGCTCTGAATTGTGTATTTTGAACACACTGGGGTGACAGTCTGATAACATCACTTCATTGTTTTAACACAGTTGTGTTATATTATTATATAGGGTGTTTTAAAGAGAGTGAGGCAGTTATTTTCAGATTCAGTCAAGCAGCTATAAAGTATTTTATATGACAGCAGAGATTTCCTGTTCGTTCATTCCTTCACATTCTCATCCCTAACATTCCATTTATGTACAAGTATTATTCATGCTGCACTTAGTCTTTTGAATATAACAGATCTAAGAAGTACTCAGTCATACAAATGCCATGCGCCGTAACAGTCTCTGTGGAGATTTAACTAGGACCTCCAAGTTGTCTGTTTTGCTTCCTGGAGAAGATGGGTCTGTGCAGAAGAAAGTATGTATTCTTGGAAATACATTTGCATTGCCCTGTTGATTATGAGCAACTGAATGCAAATTTGGATTTGCATTATAGATGACCTCAGTGAAAGCAAAGTAGTGTATGTTAAACTGTGCAACAGGTTGCTAATCTGTCTGCACTTCCTCTTTCATCTCTAACCTTCTGACATGTCTGTTACAAAACCTAACTACTATAGCAATGAGGATTTGTAGTTCTTATTTTGAATTTCAATGTTCCTCTGGAGAAAGAAGTGTTGGTAGACTATGCTTCTGGTAAAGTACACCTCCCGCCCACCCCACCCTCTCTTCACTTCCCCCATGCGGATGCTACCAAATAATCCCTCCCAAGGATTATTTTTATCCATAGAATTTAATGATACTCTGAAGAGCTAAAATACTACTTGTAAGATTTAATAGATAGCACCGAATGTCTTTAACTTATTCCAAACTTCAAGGACTAGAACTTTTATCCATCTGCACTGGTTTCTTTTTGCAAACTCTGCTAGAAAATATTGTAGCTGGCTGACAAAATGAATATGAACATAACTGAAAATAATTTTCTACTACGTAAGAACAATTTATTTTAAGCATGCATCTGAGCTATTTATTTGATATGCTTCTAGGAACACCGTTAGAAGCTCTGTTGCCACTAATCAACCAGCCAGAAACTGGCCACAAAAGTGTTACTGAATATTTTGCTGCCCATAATATTCTGCTGCTTTAGAAGGTGACAGAGGTTCATATGATAGAGGCCACCCTGTTGACTTGTACAGGTTGGGTTATGAATGGACTGTCTAGCTGACTCTCTCTCTCTCTCTCTCTCTCTCTCTCTCTCT